CTCGCACCTCCACTCTTCACTTGAGCTGTCTGTGCTCAGGGGAGCAGAGACCCAGACAGCCCAGGCTTCTGAGGATAGATTCAGAAGCCCAAGTCTTGCTCTTCTTCATTTTCTCCTGGGAAATTTAAGTGTCTTCTCCCAGGGAAGTTCCTGCCTGTTTGTTTTGTTTCCTAAAATGTTTGTTTTTAAAGCCTGGCTTGCTATTTTTAAATTAATATTTTTAGTTTTTCTGTTTCTTTCTCTCTGCCTTTAAATGAAACAAGTTCATTCTTCTGGTTTTCTAGCCCCTCTGGGTTCCCTTTTGACTCTTTTCCTGCATCCCAGATAATTGAGAATGTATCAACCAAGTGTAAAAAGAGCTGGCCTTTCACTTTTGGTGGGCCTTTGTTATTCTCTTGTATACTTGAATTCTCTTAACTCCTCTAACCCTGTGGAAACAAAGCTGTCTACACACAGTGTCCCTTTGTGGAGAAAAGCTCAGAGTGGGTGAGTAGGAGCCCTTTTTTGATTTAGGTTTTACAAGTCTGAGCTTCAAACAGTACCTGTGCTCTGGTGGGCTTCAGTCCTCTACTGAGGGCAAAGTCTCTACTGTGGGGAGAAATGGCAAACCAGATACTTTTTCAAGGAAAGAGGGTCGAGTGAGAGTCTTTGCACCTTAGGGGAATGTATTCACACAGTCCTCAGGACTCAGACTTTGAGGTTAGTGGAATTAGAGGACCCTGCTTCTCTTCTTTCCATTCCTACCCCACTCCCTTCTCAGTTGCTATGGACCAATGCATCTCTCTAGAGGCAAATACAGCAAGCAGTCTACCTTGTCCTCTGCAGTTGCTCTTCTCCATAATTTTCCTGCTACAAGTGTTTTAGGTGTTACTTCCCCAAGTTGTCCTGTTCTTGCAAACAGAAGATATGGCACCTGGGCTTAAGGCCTAAGGAAGCCAGTCAGTCACCTTCTGGGCAAGGGCTCTCCCTTCTGTCCTCCCTGTCCATGGCACCAACCTGCTGCCTCTGCGGGATAGCTTCCTGTTATTGCAGCACTGTGTCTGCCAGGGGGAACTTGGCCACTATCCCTGTCCTTCTACAGAACCTGAGGGAGAAGGTTCCCCTAGTAATGTCACTGTCTGTTCTTACTCCTTCCCTCCAGCAGCTGGCCTAGCCACTGAGTCAAGGTGTGGGATTAGGAAGGAGGAGAGGCAATTAAGCTGTAACCCCCAAGAAGGAAATAACTAAGAGGTTCCTTCCATGGGTAGCCGGCGGTTGTGCCTTTTGTAGGCTTTCTTTTGCCTTAAACCTGAAGATGTCTCCTCAAGCCTGTGGGCAGCATGCCCAGATTCCCAGACCTTAAGACACTGTGACAGTTTTCTGTCTGTCCACTATGTTTAGTTGCAAGGATTTCTCCATGTGTGTTGTTGCTGTTTTTATTTTTTGTTGTTGTTGTTGTTACTGTTTTAAAGGGTGCACATTTGTGATCAACATTATGACTTGGAGATAATAAAATTTAGACTATAAACTTGGCTACCTTGCCAGTGTTTTGTGTGAGTATTGATTTGGGAGGAAATGAAGAGGACTTGCTAAATCCCTCACAGATTCACAGTCACAACCCAAGGGCTGGGGATGTAGCTTCTCAGTTGGTAGAGTGCTTGTCTTGCATGGATAAAGCCCTGGGTTCAATCCCTAGCACCACCAAAAAAAAAAAAAAAAGTTGTGGTGGCTCCTGTGGTTATAGAAAACTGGGCTCATACCACTTACCATGGAGACAACCCAAGCCAGCTCAGACTTGTGAAATGGAAGCTCAGAAAGGTGAGGAGCCTCTATGAGGCCCTAAGTATGTCTGTGCTCCCCGTCACTTCTGTTTTTCTGATAAGAAAACCACATTTACATTACCACATAGGTATCAGGATATCATGGAGTCCCTTATTTGGAAGTGTCATGAACAATAAAACTTAGCCCATGTGAACATCTATGCCTTCTTTTGTGTCTTTCTAAAAAAATAAAGATACTGGCACTTAAGAATTTCGGACCACAATGTAAGGGAGAGGTTCCTATCAGTCTTAATACAGATAAGGGGAAGGGAAACTCAAACACTACCAACTGTGGATCATTCTGCCCTTTACCTGGGCCCCTGGTGCACACAGGATGATTCCCAGCTTTGAATTGACTGTTGCTTCCAGATCTGGATAGGATGGAAGTTTGCTGGTATGGGAGAATTTGATGTGGAGTTTTTGTCCTGGAGTTCCAGAAAGGCTTATACTGGGGACATGGATATTCTTAAAACGACAGATGGAAGTTCCCCCAATGCTGCTGCTACGGCCAGATAACCATGAATTTTCCGAGCCCATCCATTGTCATTTTGCTTCCCTTCTCCCCCACATGATGATGATGATATCTGTAGGCCTGGTCTCCAGGGTCATGCAAAGAATGCCAACCAATCTTGGGGGTGGAACAAGAATGTTGAGATGCTTCCCCCTCACCCCTGCCTCCTGCTTCCCTGGTCCTGCAGTTAGATCCCATTGCTCTCTGTTGCCCTGGTAACCAGCTCTGCAAGAAGAAACTCAAGCTCAGCAAAGCCCCCAGGTTCTCTCTGCCCTCCCAGCCTGCTTCTTGGTGGACAGAAAGAAGTGGAGTACAAGGGGCAGACAGATCAGCCTTAGATAGCCCTGCCCAACCCCCTTCTAGACACCCAAAGGCTAAGCTCTCAGTTAAAGCTTTTTGGCCCCCATCTCACGGTTGTAATTCATACCACTCTACTTTTCTCTTTATTTTAACCATGAAAGCAGGTGCCTTACCAACACTCCCCCGGTTGGTTAGCACACAGGCCTGCTACCTTGTGGGTGACTCAAAAACTGCAAAAATTTGGAATCCCAGAGTCATCTCAGCATCTACAGCTCACTAAGACTGGGTTGTACCTCTGATTTTCAACCCTGATTATTTTAATCACCTGGAGAGCTTTTAAAAAATACAAGCTTGGCCCTTCCTCATTTAATTGATTGGGGTGTGGCCTGGGCATCAGTATTTCTATAGTTTCCTGTGATTTCAGTGTTCAATAAAAGGTGGAAAGCACTACTGCTCCAGGAGGACCATTTCCTGGATTCAAGGTCTTGAACTTAAGTCATTACCTGGTGTCCTTGAGTAATTGTCGGTGTGGGGGGGAGTCCTGTCCCCCAACCTTTTAGTTTTCAGAAGTCAGTCCATTTTATTTACAGCTCCCACACCCTTCACACTCCCCAATTCACCCTAACCGACAATCCCAAATCCTGCCCAGAGAGAAGGTTACCAAGGCAACCGGCTTAATCTGGTAACTGTGGCATGTGCTGGGAGAAAAGCCCTCTCCTCTTCCTGTTTGGATCATAAAATGCTACCTGGGGAGCTCCAAGCCACTCCAGCCAGTTTCCCCTTTCAACCTGAGAGATACTGGGATGTCCAAAAAAACGGAGCCCAGGAAACTGATACTCAAACCTACCTTCTTAGCCATGATTGGGTTCGTTCTTTTTATTGTTCCCTCTCCAAATCCCCAGATGGGTGTGCAGAGCTTTATTTCTGTGAACACATGCCATAGCACACATGGGACTAGATATGCACATACAGTGACATGAGTGTAGTATACACCCTGTCAGTTCCACCACCACCACTCCCAGCTATTAGCATTCCTATCCTTGCCTGGCTAGTGCACAGTACACGGGTGGAGCATTGTCCAAGGAGCCTCAACCCAGCTGGAACAGGGTGCCACTCCCTTGACCTTGAAAACTTTACCTGGATGTGTTCACACTGTCTCTATCACTCTCCTCCTGGGGGGTTAAGGGGGGGTGTACCCTTAGGGACAGGAGGCTCTTGATATGAACATTAGGAAGAAGGATTATTTGGAATGCAGTCTGAATACACTATTCCCATTCTATTGCTATGTGACACTGTGCTTGGTGTGCTTGATGATGTTAGTTGGCAGGTGGGTTTGTCACCCATTTCTGTGGCCCTGCTTCCTTCTACCAGTGGGCTCAGGTGCCCTCATATTCCTGGTCTCCTCCCTTCTGCCTACTATTTCTTTTCACCCAAACTAGACCTGCCACAACCTGCTGCTCTCTACCTGACTCTTACTTGCTTGCCAGTACCTGCCTCACAGGCCAGCCCTGCACCACCTACTATGCCCCACTAGAGAGGGCAGAAGGGCACCGCCCCCAGTGCCAAAGCTAATCCACCCAAGAGGGCTTCCTAGCCTTTCTTATTGGAGTTAAAGACCAGGTATTCCTGTGAGTATGGTAGAGGTGTGGTGTGCAGGGTTCAGCAATCTTTGTAGGTCTCACCTGTTCTGTACAGGTAGGTGAGTCCAAGTGCAGGCTACAGACCATGTCTGGCTATTTGCAGTGATGCTAAGAGACCCAGTAATTCCATAAACCAGGAATCCTTCTCCGTTATTAAGTCATTCCCTCGCCTTTGCCTTTAAATTCTGCGTCTGCTCTGAAACCAAGCCCCTGTTTCCTTCATGGTCAGCCCCAGCACCCAAGTTCAAGCCTCGCGCGGCCCGGGGGGGTGGGAGGGGGTGGGGGGGACGGACCCAGGGATGGTAGAGGCGGGAAAGGGGCGGGGACTGGGCAGGGACTAGAGAAGGGGGCGCGGTCTCTGTTCTGCCACCTTCCCCCCGGCGAGGAGCGCAGCCGCCGCCGCCGCCGTGTCCTCTCAGCCTTGCGCTGGGCACGCTGCCTCTGCCGCCGCAGCCCGGCCCAGGCGCGGAACCTGGGGCACTGGCCCCGTTGCCTGCCCACCCTTCGGCTGCAGCCGGCATGGGCAGCCACTGAGAGCGGGCACTCCTTCCCTCTGGCACCTCCCCTGGCCACCGGCCACTGGACTTCGGCCAGCAAGCCTCGGCCACCTCTAGTCCCCAGTCCGGCGCCTGGCACGGCCCTCCGCTCTGCTCCTCCGGCTCTGAGCATCGCGTTCCTGCCCCCCCCCGCCCGCGCCTGGGACACCTGGGTCCCCCGGCGGCCCTTAGGAGAGGGGCGGGGGGGGGGGGTATGAAGCCGCTGGAGAAATTTTTGAAGAAGCAAACATCGCAGCTGGCGGGACGGACGGTGGCGGGAGGTCCTGGCGGGGGTCCGGGGAGCTGCGGCGGGCCTGGAGGGGGTGGGGGACCTGGCGGGGGCGGCGGTCCAGCCGGGGGACCGCGGCCGCTGCAGCGGCGTCAGAGTGTGTCTCGCCTGCTGCTCCCAGCTTTCCTCCGGGAGCCCCCAGCCGAGCCAGGGCTGGAACCGCCCGCTGAGGAAGAAGGGGGAGAGCCCGCGGGGGTCGCAGAGGAGCCGGTCAGCGGGGGACCCTGTTGGCTACAGCTAGAGGAGGTGCCAGGGCCAGGGTCGCTCGGGGGCGGGGGACCCCTGCGCTCCCCTTCTTCGTACTCCTCAGATGAACTGTCCCCAGGCGAGCCCCTCACTTCACCGCCCTGGGCGCCCCTGGGTGCTCCTGAGCTGCCGGAGCATCTTCTGAACCGGGTTCTGGAACGGCTGGCTGGAGGGGCCACCAGGGACAGCGGCGCCTCAGGTAAGAAGTCCACAGGCTCATCCATCCCAGAGCAGGGGGTGCCCCTGGTTCCTCTTCTTGCCCTTGGAGAGTGGGAATGGCCCTGAGCTTGGGTGTGGATTTGAGGGCTCCCCCTAAACCGGGTAGGGACTGAGCTAAGCCACAGACCCTGTCTCAAGCATAAGAGGAGCAGCAGTGCCCACCTTCATTCCCGTAGCTGTCTCACCCACCAGGGAAGAAGCTGAGCCTCCTCTCCTTCAGCTACCCTTCCCCTCCTCTGGACATTTTAGCCACAATCTCCCATGGGTCCCTGCTGTTGACTGCCTCTTCCTGTGCCCTTAAATTGGGACCTGACATATTAAAATGGAAGCTTCTGAGCTCAACCTGTGCCGCCTTCGAATAGTGCCCAAGGCCTGAAAAACCTGACAGGAGTCCCTGACTGTGTAAAAGCCCCAGAGCACAGGCCAGCCCACTTGATAAATCAGCGTGGACAAGGCCCAAGCTGCCTTTGGGGGTTAGGCAAAGGCATCTTCCTTAGCAGCTTGGTAGGGGCTAGCATTCTATTTGGGGATGGACTCAGTGTTTGTGAAGAAAGGGGCCTCAGCATCAGGCCTGTGCATCAGGGCCCTGCAACATCCAGGGGAGTTGGGGCTTTTCTGGCTCCCACCCTTCCGGTGTCAGGCCTTTGCTCTTGGCTGCTTTAAAAAATAATAACCACACCCTGAGAGGCTTATTCCCTAAATGATGATGCTATTTCACCCCTCCCCATCAGCACCTTACTAAGGGGCCTTTAAGAAAACTGAGTCCCAAATTACTGGTTAGTGCTGAGGTAGAAGACCTCGGACTCTTAGGTCCAACTCTAGACAGGCATTAAGCATAGGAGGGTCTGAGGTTTGAAGCCCAAGTTGAGACCCTAAAGATGGGTGAGGGATTACACTTTGCTCTTAGCCCTCTGCAAGGAACTCCAACCTAGGTGTGTGGAGTGGGACACCTCCCCTAGATTTTTTTCAAGGTCTGGGTCCTCTCCTTTGGCTCAGGCTACAGTTGCCCTGGGGAGCTGACACCTTTTGGATTTAATTAGAAAAATATCAGACACACACAGCTCTCCTAACCATAACTTCCCGCCTACACCACACACCCTGTGTCTCTATGACACATTCCCTGGGGAGGCTGTGCATTGGACCAGAGCCTGCTTTGGAAGAGACAGATGCCAAACTATAGCCCCCATATCAGCATCTCCCCCATTCTGTCCCATGCTCCTCTTTTGCTCTGTCTTTGCTTTCCTGTGAGATAAAGAGACCTCCTTATTCCTAGTCACTGTTCCTGGAGCTGGGGGTCAGGGCTGAGATATCTCTGACTTACTTCAGAATATAGCAGTGTAGCTAGGTAAAGAGGAAAAGAGAGAAACTCTCTTTGCCCTTCCACAGGGGGCTGGTGCTACAGACTCTGCTCTCTCCCCTGGGGTGAGGCTCCTGAATTGATTATTACCCATATTATCTGGCCAAGCAGGCTGGATCCCCAGAGTAACTGGTTTGGGAAAGCCCAAACCAGTCCCAGAGTGAATTGAGAATCAGCTTAAACTGCCACCCTGATACTTCCATTATAACCCGTGTTCTCAAGCCATTTTGGTTTCCTCCCAGGGCGTGTAGGAGGAAAGGGCTTACAGAAGGTCCTCCACACCTAGCCAGAGCCTCTCGAACATCTGGGCAGCCCCATCTGACCACTAGGTTCTACCCTGACACTTTGCCCTTCTTCCAACATATTGAGAAAAGAGCAAAGATGCAGGAATCGGGGTTCTTCCAGCTCCAGGCAAGTCCCTTCTAGCACTGGGCCTCAGTTTCTCATTTGTGAAATGAAAATGGTTGAAATAGATGATTTTGTGTTGGTTCTTCTTCATCTTCATAGCTAGAATTGATGGCCTGAGATGGTGAGCCAAGGTCTGTCAGAAGCCTTGGTTTTGTCCTGGAGCAGTGCCTGGGGACCTGGCCCTAACCTGTCCTGGTGAAGACACCTGGCTCCCTCCCTGTGCCCTGCCTGTGTGTGCCAGGAGACTTTGCCCCACCCCAGGACTGGCTGCGAGTCAGGGCGACCTTGTACCCGGCTGACTGGCTGAGCCAGGCCCAGACAGGGGTGTGGAAGGGAAAAGGGTGGTGAGAGGAGCCCCTCCCCTCCACCCTTCCATCATTAACCCTTGCATCTCTGGGCATCTAGAGTACACAAGCTTTCTATTTAAAGCCTCTGAGATCAAAGAGATGGCAGTCCCTCCCTCTCCATTTTAATGGGTCTTGTTCCCACCTGTCTGGGTAGAACTCAAAGTAGTGAGGTAGGGAGCAAGGAGGGGAGGAGGGATACATACACATACCACTGACCCTAACCTCTCTGTTTGGAAGTTCTCTTTGTCTAGAGACCCTTCTGTGGGCTACTTCATTTTTCAGGCAGTTCTCAGGCTTGGTGTGCTATCTGACCAACTTTCCACATATACCAAAGAGAAGTATGCGTTGCTGCCAAAGGCACACCTCCTTCCCTCCAGCTGCCTTGGCAGCTGCCAGCCCCACCCCCGCGACAGCTGCCCAGGATCTTCACACATGTGTGTGCACGTGTGCAGAGCATGACAAGGCAGGTGGCCGGGGCTCCAGCCTGCCTAAAGAGAACTTGCCCTTGGAGGCCAGAGAAGGAGTGTAGGATTTCCAGTCTGGTCCTAGAAGTGCTCTTCTGACATTCGTTGGCACCCATTGATCTCCACAGATATCTTGCTTGATGACATCGTCCTTACCCACTCCCTCTTCCTCCCAACGGAGAAATTTCTACAGGAACTACATCAGTAATATCCTTTTGTGGAATTTGTAAAAGATAGGCCAGGAGGCAGCCCATTTTCTCTATCCCACGTGTGACATCAGAGCTCAAGCTCTCCCCTAGAAAATATACCCAGCTTTTCAGTTCACCAGCTGTGTCTCTTTAGGTAGATCACCTCACCTCCAGGGGCTTCCAGTTCTTCTGTAAAATGGAGGTAAATAATACCTGCCCTGCCTACCTATGGCCTGCTGCGAAGATTAATCTGATAGTAGATGTGAGAGTTCTTTGGCAACTGCAAAGACCTGTATAGATGTAAGGTGTTATTATCCTAATAAGGGTGCCTCTCTTCCCACTGAATTATTCTTCTAAACATCTGGTTGTCCAGTGCATTATTACAGAGTCTGCTGTCAACATCAGGTCTTGGCTGGGCTTCAGTAGGAGACCCTGGGCAGTACAGATGAGCCACTGGCCAGCCTGTTCATTAGATCTCATATAAGCAGATAGCCTTTCACTGAGTTATTTTAGAACCTAATTCTTAATGTCAGGTCACTGAGTAAGTAGAATGTCTTAGATTCTCTTAGCAACATCAGGCCTCACAAAGCAATAAAGTCAGGTTTGTGGGTGCAACTGTAAGCTCTGGGCCCTGGGCTGGCCAGAGGATGGGATGGGTCTTGGGCAGGGTATTCGTAAGTGAAAAGCTAACAGGAAATGGATGTGATCAGGTGGATGCCATCACTACCTATTCTATGCAAAAACCTGGGCTGGCACAGGAGAAGGTCTTGGCTCCTAGAGAATATTTGGGGGTAGTTTAGCCTGTCATTGCTTCTCTTCCCAATTTCCTCAGGCTTGCCTGTCCATGGCTTTTTCTTGACTTAGTGGTCAGCTTTGTTCGGGCAGGGGTCCTGGAGGGCCCTGAGGGGCTAGGCCGGAAGCAGGCCTGTCTAGCCATGCTACTCCATTTCTTGGACACCTACCAAGGGCTGCTGCAGGAGGAAGAGGGGGCCGGCCACATCATCAAGGTGGGCCTGGGGAAGAAAAGGTGGGTGAGCAAGCTATTAGCTCTGGAAGGAAGCCCTTTTGAAGGAAACATACTCCTCAAGTTGGGTATCTGGAAGCAAAAGATGTTATTGGGTCTTGGATTATATGGTTCTTCTATGCTCAAAGGCATGGAGTCCCTGCCCTGGCCCTTGCAGAAAGAGGTACCTGGAATGAAACCCCTGTCCTCCTCTTCTCAGGACCTCTACCTGCTGATTATGAAGGATGAATCCCTTTACCAAGACCTCCGAGAGGAAACACTGAGGCTGCACCAGCTTGTGGAGACAGTGGAGCTGAAGTGAGGGAAAATGGGTTGCTGGAGTGGTCAGGAAAGAGGTCCCCTGAATTCCTCTATTACAGGGGCTACCTCTGGTTCTTTGGCTCAACATAGTGTTGTTGTTGTCCTGTGAATGTGTGTGTATATGTGTGTGTGTATGTATGTGTGTATGTATGAGTATGTGTGAATATGTGTTTTGTACCAGGGATTGAAGCCAGAGGTGCTTAACCACTGAGCAATATCCTCAGCCCTTTTTATGTTTTATTTTGAGACAGAGTCTTGCTTAGGGCCTTGCTAAGTTGCTGAGGCTGGCTGTGAACTTGCAATCCTCCTGCCTCAGCCTCCTGAGTTGTTGGGATTACAGTTGTGCACCACTGCACCTGACTTCAATATGGTTTTATTTTAGCCCCTTTCTCTTACTGAAGGGTGACACAGAGCACTGTGTCCAGTCATTTTTATTGTCCATTCACCCATCCATTTGCCTGTTAATCCAGTGGTGAACTAGTTAATATTTAACAACTAATGCTCAGGAGAAAGAGCCTTGATTCTTAGCTTTTGCTGATTCCATGGCATAAATTCTGTCATCGTTTTTGATTTTAAGCTACTGACATGATGTCATTGAATATGGAATAGAGAAGAGATGTGTGTGGTAGCTAAATGTTATATAGCATTTCCACAGTACTGATACACTAGAGGTAAAAATCTCAAAAGCACAGATAATAATAAACTGTACCAAAACAATTAGCATACTTCCTTTTATGTAATAATTTATTTGAGCACATGTTTATAAAATGTGTGTTTATACACACATACATGCAAATTTTAATGGCTGTGTTAAACATAAGTTGGCAAAATCCCTCAAAATTGAACTCGTGAGCTGCCTTCAGGACTCCACTGCATTTCTTCATCCCTTCTGTCCTTTCAGTTTTCTCTTTTCCATTCCCACCACCATGGCCCTTGTATAGGCCTCTTTAACTCTCACTTGGATTTTCTTTTCTTTTCTTTTTTTTTTTTTGATACCGGGGATTAAACCCAGAGGTACTTAATCATTGAGCCATGTCCCCAGCCCTATTCTTTTTAATTTTTTTAAATTGTCAATGGACCTTTATTTTATTTATTTATATGTGGTGCTGAGAATTGAACCCAGTGCCTCACACATGCTAGGCAAGTGCTCTACCACTGAGCCACAAACCCAGCCCTCCCTATCCCTTTTTTATAGTTTATTTAGAGACAGGGTTTCACTAAGTTGCTAAGGGTCTTGCTAAGTTGACGAGGCTGGCTTTGAACTCACAATCCTCCTGCCTCAGCCTCCTGAGCTGCTGGGACTACAGGTGTGTGCCACCACACCCAGCTCTTACCTGGATTATTGCCGCAGCCTCCTACTCAGGGCTTCAGCTTGTGGCCTTGCATATTTCTCCCTTTCTTTACATTGACAACAGAGAGATCTTTCAAACTTGTATAAACAATACCATCACACTCCTGTTCCAAAAGCATCCACACTCTCTCACTACCTCTAAGACAAAGCTAAACATCTGAACACAGCATTCAACACCCTTCTCTTTCTGCCTTCTGTTGATCCTTCCCACCTCATATCCCACATCTTTTTCTACCCTTGACACTCCCTATATAGCCCACCATTCTCTCAACTCCTGTGCTTTCCCAGATTCCTGCTGTTGCTTATATCATACACCCAGAATGCCTTCCTCCCACCTCTTTCACTTCCTGTTGTCCTTCAAGGCCTAGGTCAAATGCCATCTTCTCCATGAAAGTGTCACACAGATCCTCCTTTTAGGAATAGCTTTCAACATCTCTCTCCTGTGCCTTTTTCACATCACCAATACCTCCTGCCTGGTGTTAGAAGTAGCTGTATGCACGTCTGTCTCCCTCCCAGATTGTGAAGTCCTTGTTGGCAAAATTCAGAAAACATCTGATGGCCTACTACCTACCATGTGCCAAGCAGTGTGCTAGGCCCTGGAGGATAAAAAAAAAAAAAAATTCAGTAAGAACAAATCCCAGTCCTCAAAAGTTCTCAGTCTCATAGAGGAAATAAGACATGAACATAAGCAATAATGTCCCAATATTTACAGCATTTGAGGCAAGCAAGTGACCTTTCCTGGTGGGGGGGTGGATCAGAGAAGAACTGGTGGAAAAAGTGGCATTTGATTTGGGTCACTTGGTCACTTGTCCCATGCTGGTCATTGTCTTCTCTTCTGATCCCTTTAACCACTTTCTGAAAGTGGAGCTGGTATGTCCTTGACCCAATTCTAATATCCTTGCTTAATGTTGCCTGCTTAGTACTCCAAATGCCCAGCAGAGCTTGCTGATGCCCCACTGTGTCTGTACCAGGATCCCAGAGGAGAGCCAGCCACCCAGCAAGCAGGTAAAGCCACTCTTCCGCCATTTCCGTCGGATAGATTCCTGTCTCCAGACCCGAGTGGCTTTTCGGGGCTCAGATGAGAGTGAGTATCACCATTAGAAAAGGCAGGGCTTCCCAAGTGACTCGGGAGGATTGTGGGGTATCTGGGTCTTGGGTACCATCAGAGGAGTCTCCTGTGTAGTGGAAGTAGATAGTACACTTATCTTCAGAGGCCAGCCTCTGGTATAGAACAGAGGTGCCCTGGAGGGGCTGGTAACTACCTGTGTTGAAAAGCTGTTTTCCTGTCTCTGTGCAGTCTTCTGCCGAGTCTACATGCCTGACCACTCTTACGTGACCATACGTAGCCGTCTCTCAGCATCTGTGCAGGACATTCTGGGCTCTGTGACAGAGAAGCTGCAGTATTCAGAGGAGCCCGCAGGGCGTGAGGATTCCCTCATTCTGGTAGCTGTGGCTTCCTCAGGAGGTAAGGGTCAGTGCCCTAGGGCTGAGACAAAGACTGAATTCTAGGTCTTTGCTACTCAAAGTATGATCCTGAGACAAGCCTCATGTGCATCTCCTGGGAGCATTTTAAAAAATCTCAGACCCTACCCCAGACTTTCTGGATCAGAATCTCCATTTGGCTAAAAAAGACTTCTGGGGGATTAAAGTTTGGGAAGCAATAGCCCAGTACCCTGGGATTCTGATTTGAGTGCTGCCTCTCACTCACCTGGGGGATTGGGTTCTAGTTCTTTTTTCAGGGTAAAGACAGGGTGGTAGGGCATGGCGGCACATGCATGTAATCCCAGCTGCACAGGAGACTGAAACAGGAGGATCACAAAGTCAAGGCCAGCCTGGGAAATGTAGCGAGACCCTGTCTCAAAAACTATAAATGGCTGGTATATAGCTCGGTGGTAGAGCACTTGCCTAGCGTATGCTAGGCCCTGGGTTCAGTCCCCAGTACCACAAAAACAACACAAAAAGATGCAGGGGTTCTAATCTCTGTGGGGAGACAGAAGGCCTGCAGTGTATCTTATTTTCCTCTAAGAAAAAAAGTCCTGCCTTTCCAATGTCAAAGGGACAAAAGAATGAGGGAAGGAAAAAAAAAAGCTATGAAAGAATGTTGGAGGTTAAAAAAAAGGAAGATTACGAATGCAAAAATAATAAATATGATAAGTATGGCAGATAAATATGGCATCAACTGGTGACAGCATGAGTCCCACTGGTCTAGAATGTGTCAGTGCAGGGCTAGGTGTTCTGGATGCGAAAGGAGACAGGGTCTGGGATGTGTGAGGGAAGGGGTGGGGGGCGCTAAGCAGCCTGTTCTCCTGCAGAGAAGGTCCTTCTCCAGCCTACTGAGGACTGTGTTTTCACCACACTGGGCATCAACAGCCACCTGTTTGCCTGTACTCGGGACAGTTATGAGGCCCTGGTAAGACAAGGTTTTGGCTGGGAGCAAGGGCTGAGGGGGCACTGTGAACAGTCCCTCACCCTGCCACCAGGAGCCCAGCCCCTCTGTCCCTGCCTGTCACAGGTACCCCTCCCTGAAGAGATCCAGGTCTCCCCTGGAGACACAGAGATCCACCGAGTGGAGCCGGAGGACGTTGCCAACCACCTTACTGCCTTCCATTGGGAGTTATTCCGATGTGTGCATGAGGTGGGGACTGAGGCTGGTGCTGGGCGTGAGGCGGGAGAAATGAGCCAATGGGAGTCAGTGTTCATAGCAGACCCTCCTGGTTAGATGGCTCAATTGCAGCATGCCCTTGGGCAATGCACAGCCAGGACCTCCTCAAGCCTTTGTCTTCTCAAAAAATGGCAGAGAGAGACTCCATACCTGAGTGATTTAGGGCCAAAGCACAGCTTACCCAGAAACTGACTCAGGGTAATTTTAAAATATTCACTGTTAAAAGAATTTTTTTAAAAAGGTAAGCGACAATAATGTCTCTCGGGTGGTTGTCTTGAGGAGAAGTCAGCCTTTAGCAGGTGCCTGGCACCTAGTAAATGCTCAATAGATGGTAATATCCTATTAACCTTGGTTCTCTCTCGCTTCTTGTCCCCCCCCCCCCCCCCCCTCACGCTCTGGGCTCCTGCCTCCTGCATCTCCTCGCGCCCTACGCTGCCATCTTCCCACCCATGCCCTGACACCTCGGTGGCCCCTCCGTCACTGCGGGTGTAGCTGGAGTTCGTGGACTACGTGTTCCACGGGGAGCGCGGTCGCCGGGAGACCGCCAACTTGGAGCTGCTGCTGCAGCGGTGCAGCGAGGTCACGCACTGGGTGGCTACGGAGGTGCTGCTCTGTGAGGCCCCGGGCAAGCGCGCGCAGCTGCTCAAGAAGTTCATCAAAATCGCAGCCATGTGAGTGTGGCCAGCCGCGGCGGGGCGAGGGGCACACAGAGGCTCGGCAGCGGCAAGCTGCCAGATGCCCCCCTAACCCTGCCCCGCACTCCTCAGCTGCAAGCAGAACCAGGACCTGCTGTCCTTCTACGCTGTGGTCATGGGGCTGGACAACGCCGCCGTGAGCCGCCTGCGGCTCACCTGGGAGGTGAGGAACCACCTTCCTTCCTTCTCTTGCCACGGAGCTAGCTCAGTCATCCCATTTCAGGGATCTTGGCTTCTGGGGGGCTCACCCCAGTTCGTCTCCTGTGATTACAAATAGTCTTTGTGCTGGTTGGAAGCAGGCGCCCTCTTCTGGCAACTATAGCCCCAGGTCACAGCTTGTGTCACATCTTCTTGGTGCAAATTGGTAAAAAGCCAAATTCCCAGACTGAGAGGAACTGACCTTAGGAGTAGGGCTGAGTTTCAGCCAGCAACCAGGTGGCTTTGCTATGCTCCTTGTCATAGTACATGCATGAGCAGAAGTCTCTCTTTCCCCAGAAAAATTCAGTCCTCTGGGTTCTTTCAACTTCTGGACTTTTCCAAGGACTGACTGCTTCCCCACCCACTGGCTTCCCACCACTGAGCAAGATATGCCAGCCCTTTCCCTGAGCAAGATATGCCAGCCCTTTCCCCTTCTAATGCTGGGAATTAGTCAGATGTTCCTGTGATATCCCAGGTGCTCCACTCTGACATCTCTTCTTCTTCCTTCAAACTCTGCAGAAGCTGCCAGGGAAATTCAAGAACTTGTTCCGCAAATTTGAGAACCTGACAGTGAGTGGGTTTGGCTCTTTCCACTGCCCTTGGACTTTCATCCCTGTTCTCGTAAACCCTCTGCCTTTAGCTTCCTTTTCAAGGTTTTTAATGCCTGGGACACTGCTCCTCTACCCACCATGCAGGAAGGGGAAGGGTGGAAGTATTGCTACCCTGTTTTCCTTGGAGGAGGGGAGGAGAGCAATAAGCCCCTCCCTGTCACACACCCAGCTAGACACCCACACACCCCTCTAGCTGATTGGGCAGGGAGATGAGGGAGAGAGTGGGAGACATGTTTGGGGTACACTGAGCCCATCTGTCTCTTATCCCTCTTCTGTGGAATGCTAGGATCCTTGCAGGAACCACAAAAGCTATCGAGAAGTGATCTCCAAAATGAAGCCCCCTGTGATTCCCTTCGTACCTCTGATCCTCAAAGGTGAGAGAGTCACTGCCACACTGTGGTTCTCCTCTCCACATTTCCTTCTCCCAAGCCCCAGTTCTGACTCTCAGTCCCCTCTCAGCTCAGCTCTATGTGTCCTACTGAGGAGACTTCCAGATTGAAGTATAGACTGGCATAAAGGACCCTCCCCCAGGGGGAGGGTCCTATATGCCATGGCCCTTTGGACTTCCTCTCCTCTGTGTGCCTCAAATTTGACTCTCTTCTTACCCTAGACCTGACATTCCTACACGAGGGGAGTAAGACCCTCATAGATGGCTTGGTGAACATTGAGAAGCTGGTGAGTAGTTCTGCCAACTCTCTGTCCATGAGTGAGGGGCTTTGTCCTCCCCCTCTCTCCTGTCACCTTCCTAAAATAGAAGTCTTCCTCCATGGTACCCAGCTTGCCTAACAGACTCTCAACTGTCTCCCTGGTGGCATCACTGTGGCAACCCACCCATGGGTGGCAAAGCTGACAGGCCGCTTGGGGGCAACTCTACCCGCCAACCCACCTGGTACCCACCTACACCCTCTCCTTTGGTCCTTCAAAAACCCTTCAGAACTGGGAACTTGAGAGAGTAAAACCAACAGAGTTGGAGAATGGAGGTGGGGGGTGTGTAAGGGGGAAGCATCTTTCTGTGCCCTTTTCAGGGCTTATTTCTTGTCATCTCCCAGCATTCAGTGGCCGAGAAAGTGAGGACAATCCGTAAATACCGGAGCCGGCCCCTCTGTGAGTGCCTAGTACCCAGGATTCTAAGAGGGTTTTGGGTGGAGCGCTGGCTGAGTGGGAAGGTTAAGGGGACCTCTGTCCTTAAACATGTTTTTACTTACACGGGTCGGGTCCGTCCTCCATTTTCTCCTTGTACCTCCTGCCAAACACCTATCCTAATCTTAATGTTTTGCCTGGTGTATGGAGAGGAAGAAGGGAGGCTGGGAGCCTGACTGCCTCTCCCTCCCTGCCCCTCAGGCCTGGACATGGAGGCCTCCCCTCACCACCTGCAGACAAAGGCCTATGTGCGCCAGTTCCAGGTCATCGACAACCAGAACCTCCTCTTCGAGCTCTCCTACAAGCTGGAGGCTAATAGTCAGTGAAAATGGAGGGGCTGGGCTGCCCCCACCAGAGTCCTTGGCACCTGGCACTCAAGCACTTTGCACAATGTCCCAACAAATGCACATGGAATATATTTCCCCTGGAGCAACTTCCTGCCCCATGGGGAAGAGTCAGATGGACTTACCTGGATTCATAAGCTCATAAGCTTATTCATCCTTCTGAAATCCCTTTACCCTTGCTCTTTCACGCCCCAACTACACTAGGTGTGTTCCTGCCTTTTTGAGGAAAAGGGGATAGAGTGCTCCTTCCTCTGTCACCTCCCAGTGAGGTCTGTTCCAGAGATGGCATTTCCAGCCTCTTCTTCCCAAGCAGCAACTCACAAGACAGGCATTGTGGGAGGCACTGGCAGCTTTCTTCCCCACTGCCTGTCTGGCTTCCCCTTAGTCAGGGTTGGGAGCCCTGGATGTATCCCTGGGATTATTATTGTGTGTGTGTGTGTGTGTGTGTGTGTGTGTGTGTCCGTGTCCCCTCTCGGGGAGCAGGAGTGCATCTGGCGATGGAGGGAGGGTGTTATGTGTGCTGGGGGGATTTTTCCTTCTGTTTGGTGCTACCCTTGTCTGCTCTGCCCTTGGGACAGCGTGGTGTGCTCCCCCACCCACCCCCGCTTAGTGCCTCCTGCTGCCCTGCATGCCCAGGCTTGTGAGCCAAGCTGCTCCCAAGGGCAAAGAGCAGCAGCAGGTGGGAGGGTTACCCATCAGCCCTGTGAGTCTCCCACCCAGACCTCCCCAAGATCCCTAGATGGGCTCTCATGAGACAGTAAAAGATGCTCAGGGAAACACAGGCCTAAGCTGCCTATAGGACCCTTCCTCTGCCTTGCAGAGGGGCACAGCAGTCTCAGGAGTTAGGGGTGCCTGCTCTCCATACTCCTGCTCTTTGGGGTGTCTCTTTGCTAACAAGGGCATTGTCATCCCCCTTCTGGCTCTTGTATCTGATGCTAACAACACAGTCTCTGTCCCTTTCTCCCAGTCTTGACACCCCTTGGTCCTCCCCATAGAGCTGGGTGGGGTGGATCTCTGTAAAATAACAGGACGGGCAGATTCCTGAAAGTGGGGAGAGAAGGAGCAGGCAGAGATTGTAGAGGTGAAACTGGACTCTGACAAAGCCTTTGTTACCTCTATCTCTGCTCCCTCTCCCATTATAGGGCTCCAGGGCTGCGGGGTGCAGGGGCTCCTGGCAGCTACTGGGTGAGGTTTCCTGGCACAGCCTCACCCGCCTTCCTGGCACCACTCTTTCCCTTTTGAATAGGCAGTGGTGGCAGTGGCAGCAGTAAAAGTGGCTGCTGCTCCTGCTCTGGGGTGTATATATTTTTTACCCAAAGCTCTGGAATTGTAAATTTATTTTTTAAAACTCAAAGAGGGAAAGAGCCTTGTATAATATGTAAACATTGTATCATAGGTTATGTTGTACAGTCCCTTTTATACAGCAGTCTGGTTCCTGTTTCAAAAACTATCTGTGGACATACACAGGCACCATGCCCCACCCACCCACTGCAACCCTCACAGTGACCATGGCCCCTCCTACACCCTGCAACTGCTGATGCCTGCTTCTATCCCTGCAGCCCCGGACTTTCCATCCTTCCTCCTGAACCCTCTCAGCAGCCTTCTCGCTTCAGTTCCCCACCCCTCCTTGAACGTGGTAACCCCCTGGCTGCTTGCCCCTTGCCTTGACACTGCCCTGCTGCTTTCCAGGGGCTCGCCAGCCCACACCCCACTTCCCACAGCTTTAACAGAGTGAACTGTGTGTATTGTACAGGCTCAGTTGTCATTGAAGAATCTGCTGGGTGGAGAGAAAGCCCATAAAGTCTATGAATCAACTGCCTGCTGTTCTCCGTTCTGTTTCTCTGAGGCTGGGGAAAGACTGAGGGATGGGAGAGGGAATGGCCTCTCAGGGCTCAAGGCCCCTCAGCAGGACTGTCTGGAGTGACTTGGAAAGTGTGGGTGAGAGGAAAAGGAGCCAGCCTCACAAGACCTGTCACTAGTGACTAGAACTTGGAAGAGTGGACATTTTTGTTCTTACATGGTATAGGTATGTGATGTTTAATGCTAACTCTGTAAGGTAGAAGATGGAGACTGAGCAGCCCCAGAAGAAGATCCAAGTTATAGGGTGAGAGATGGGACAGAACTTGAACCCTAACCCAGGCCTATCTGTTGCAAGTAGCAAGCACTATTCATTCAGCCAACGGCTATGAGTTCCACCAAGGCACATGGAGCCTAGTGTTAGTCTCAGGAGATGGTTAAGCTCCAGGAAACACACACTCAAACAGCTGCATGGGAGCCCTTAATCTCATCTGTTCAATCTTCATCTCAGAAAACGGTGCTTTCATCCACCCAGGTTTTCAAGGCAACATTCTAGGAATCACCCTTGATGCCTCTTTTTCCCCCCCATCCTCACTCATCTCATTGGCCAGTCCCACCAGCTATAATTCCAGAACATATCCTGATTGACCCACTTCTCTACGTCTCCCTTGTGACCACCCTAGTCCATCCCACCTTCATATCTTCCTTGGATGGCTACACAGCCTCTGACCTTGTCTCTCAGCTTCCTCTCTGTAGTCCATCCCATCTGCTACCAGTCAGGACTCCATAGGGCAGCCAGATGCTTTGTGTGTGTGTGTGTGTGTGTGTGTGTGTGTATTGCCTCACACATACTAGGCAAGCACTCTGCCACGGAGCTACATTCCCAGCCCTGAGTCCCATTAAGAGAAGTTGAAGTAATCTTTACATGAGAAGTAAAAATAGTGGTTACTCAATGGGGTGGGAGGATCAACCAGGCAGGGGCATGAAGAAGCCCTCTGGTGTGATAGAAATATTTTTATATTGTGAACATTATTATGAATATACTATGAACATTACACAGGGTGTGTATGCACTCATTGGGTTCATAGGGTAAAATCTACCTTTTATCATAGTTATGTTATAGCTCAAAGCAATTCAGATTGTAATCCTAAATTCAGAGTGTCACCTATTTTCAATAATACTTAGATTAAAAATCAAAATCCTCCCTCCCTGTCCACATCTCCTACCCTTTTGTCACTCACTCACTCTGCTCTAACTACACTGATCACTTTCTTGTTCCTGAATCACCTAACACTCATTTTTACATTTGCTGTTTCCTCAGCTTGTCTGACCATTTGATATCAAGATCCAGCCCCTCCCTCACTGTCCCTCCAGAGCCTCCTTTTTTTCCTTCCAGGAACTCCTCATACATGTTTCTTTGTATATTTGCTTAGTGTTTACCTGCCCCACCTTATCTCCATGAGTGTGTCTTGTTCATGATCTAGTACCCAGAATCATATCTGGTCTATAGAAAATGTTCATTACATATTTTTTTTTAAAAAATATATTTTTTTAGTTGTAGTTGGACACAATACCTTTATTTTATTTATTTTTATGTGGTGCTGAGGATCGAACCCAGGGCCTCGCACATGCTAGGTGAGCACTCTACTGCAGAGCCAAGCCACAATCCCAGCCCTCAATACATATTTAAAAATTTTTTTTTTAGTTGTAGATGGACAGAATGCCTTTATTTATTTTTTTATGTGGTGCTGAGGATCGAACCCAGGGCCTCACTCATGCTAGGCAAGCACTCTGCTACTGAGCTACAGCCCCAGCCCAATACATATTTCTTTTTTAGTTGTTAATGAACCTTTATTTATTTATTTATTTATATGTGGTGCTGAGAATCGAACTCAGTGCCTCACACATGCCAGGCAAGCGCTCTACTACTGAGCCACAACCGCAGCCCTGTTCAATACATATTTGTTGAGTAAATAATGAGATTGGTTGAAATGGGAACCAGAAGATAGGCACAAGACACAAGATGATAAGTGCTCTAGGGATTAAGCCAAGAGGGTTCACTCTTGGCCTGGGGATGGGGAGGACAGAATAAGATACATTTTCTTGGAAGAGATGACCCAGACCTCAAAAGAGGGATCGGGTTTGGTAGTGAAAGCATGGAAGTGGGAAATTAGGGATGAAGCACTGGAAAGCACTTGGGAACTGGGCCTTTTTAGCATGGAGAGCTACTTCTGCCCTGTAGGACTGGTCATTAGGGGAGCTAGAAGTGTGGAGGCTGAATAGGTTCTGCTCTCCTCAAAGGGTGCTGGCATCTCACTGACAGACTCCTTGAGCAGGTGAGGATGGAGTCCTTGTTGCCCCTCTTCCCCAGGAAGGCAGACAAATGGTGTGGATTATTCTTACCCCATCTCAGCCACCTTCAGACTCATCTGTTACCTATTTTTCAGAGGCGATAACAAAAGTTGCCATTCTTTGTGCTTGGCTTTGTGTGCATTCTCTTATTTAATATTCCCAACAACCTTTGAGGTTGGTTCTATCCGCTCCACTTCCACTTTCCTGATGAAGAATTGAGGTCTTGAGATTTTTTTTTTTTTAAAGCATAGGCAGAGGCCAAGTCCCCAGATTTCACAACTAGCAAGCATTCAAAGCCAATTCATTTCTGACTTTACAGCCTATACAGCTCACGCTCTATAAATCCTGGGAGTCTGAATAGTTGAGAATTATCTGCTTTGTTGCAGGTGGCTGTGGCTGGCAGAACTTTTTCTTTTGGGGGGGGGAGAACTTTTTCTATCCATTTCTTTATACCACCTGTGTTCAGAGAATCACCCAAGACCAAGAAGTAGCAGCAAAAGGGCTCTGTGGGCTGAGGCTGGGGGAATATGAGCTTATATAGTAGCCTAGCACCTCCTAGACTGGTCAGCAATGAACAAAAGGATGAAAATGATCTGGAGTAGTCAGAAGACCAATGTAATAAGGTACCCTTGATGGGGTTTAGAGAGGAGAGCAAGGAATTTAGGCAGTGCCCTAGTCTTCCACTAGGTGTCACCACCAGAATTACTTTCTCAAGGTACCTGGGGATGGGGACTAGCCCACAGCATAGAGAAAGGGAATTTACATTTCCTGGGGTCATTTATTTATTTATTTATTTTTGGTGGTACTAGAGATTGAGTCTAGGGGCCCTTTACCATTTTCTATTTTATTTTATTTTGGTGGTCCTGGGGATTGAGCCCAGTGGTGCTGTACCACACAGCTACATCCCCAGCTTTTTATTTTTATTTATTTATTTTTTTAGATCTTATTTATTTATTTATTTTTTTTAGAGAGAGAGAGAGATA